TGACTCAGGACTGTCAGTGAGGCTGGTGTAGGGGGATTGCTCTAAGTTAGAGGCCAGCCTGGCCTACAGAGTTAAGACTCACATGAAAAAAAATGGGGATGGGATGTGACCTGGAGTATAGCTCAGTAGTAGAGTACTCGCCTAGAATCCATAAAGCAAACGAATCTCTGGATTTGAGACCAGTCTGGTCTACAAAGTGAGTTCCAGGACAAGCAGGACGACACAGAGAAACCCTGTCTCAAAACTAGAAAACAGCCGGGCGGTGGTGGCGCACGCCTTTAATCCCAGCACTCGGAGGCAGAGGCAGGCAGATCTTTGTGAGTTCAAGGCCAGCCTGGTCTACGGAGCGAGATCCAGGAAAGGTGCAAAGCTACACAGAGAAACCCTGTCTCGAAAAACCCAAACCAAAACAGAAAACAAAAACAAGCAAGCAAAAAACCCACACAAACAAAATGGGAATCAGTCAGTTTGGGTACAACTCCTGGCTTTGGCTTTAGTGGTTATGTGGACAAGACATTCATTAAGCCTCTTAATCTCAGGGCCCTGGGTTGTGAAGCAAAGCCACTGGTGGTCTGTGCAGTGGGAGGAGTGTAAGATGGATCTAGCAGGCATCTAAGTCTCAGCACACCCCGCCTCCCCAGACCAAGTGTATATGTATGCTATGTAATGGATGTCCTGGTACATCTGTCTTTCTGCTGACTCTCCCTGACCTGTTCCTCCTGACTGGTCCTCACACCCCCAGGTTGGCGTGGCAGTGGTCTAGAGTTGAGATTTCCTAATTACCATATGTTCGGTGAGCTGCCCTCCAGGGCTGGATCCCTGACTGGGTCAGAACAGGCAGAGGACATGAAAGCTACAGGCTGTTGGCACTTAGGAAGCGTTTTTGGCTGGTGTAACCATTGCCTTTAATGGCCATTGCTGGCTGTTCACACTCTTCAACAGGTTGAGCTGCTCGGGGATTGGGGCAGTTACTGAGTTTCTTCTAGTTCTCGCTCCTTGCTGAAATAGGGCTTGGCCCTCCAGGCACTAAGTGCTCAGCTGTGTGTGGTGCCCTTTTACCTGTGGGGCATACACTGCTCAACCTGGTCTTGGTGGGACCTGGTTATGGGAGCAGGGTCGTACATAGGTCGGACAAGCTGTGGTGGTGGAGGGGAGGACTTGGGTCAGGTGGGGCTCCTAGGCAGTGGTTCTTTCTAAAATCCCCATCATTGTGAACACATTGAAATACTGCAGTGGCTGTCACGGTCTCTCCCACCGAGTGGTGCTTGCCCACCCTACTTTCTGGTCTTCTTTGAAGTACTAACAAGGGCTTTATTGGAGTTAGTTTCCTCCAGGAGAAACCAATGTGGAGTGAAATCGGAGTTTGTCGGGCTCACTCTCCATCAGGAGCTCCTAAGCCGGTGGTTCTCAGCTTTCCCAGTGCCGCGTGCCCTCTACAGTTCCTCATGTTGTGGTGACAATCATAACGTTTTTCTTGCTACTTCATAAATGTAATTTTGCTACTGTTATGAATCATGTTAAAGCTGTGCTTTTCGATGGTTTTAGGCGACCCCTGTGAAAAAGGGTCCTTTGACCCACCGGTTGAGAACAGCCGAGAGTCTAAGCCCTCAGCACACCAGCCTAAATCGACCAACTCTGGGCCTCCCATATGTGGGGTGAAGGAGTTGTCCTAGGGGGTTGAAATGTAAGCAAGGGAATTCGGGTTACAGGTCTCAGCATTGCCTTGTGCGGTTTGGGCCTGAAAGGAATTAGATAGCACCAGGCCCAATGGAAAACCAGGCTTACAAGACAAAGGTCCTCGGATGCCTCAGCTCTTCCAGGCCACCCCCCTCTGTTTTAATCAGGGCTAGGGGCCTTTGCTGAAAAGGAAGCCTAGGAGAAGCCTAGAGTGGGTTCCCAGGGTGGGGTGTGTGCCCCAGAGGGCTGAGGGAAGGCTGCTGGGATGTCTTTCTTTCATTGGTTGGATGGCCTTGCCCTCCTCCCCCCTCCCTCTCCTGTAACATTCCAGACATTCCTGCCGATCTGCCTGCCATTGCTTTCTGGATATGGATTAATGTCCTTGCAGAGATCTGGTTTCTGCTAGCACCCTTCTGTTCTGCCCTTCCTGAGTAGAAGACCCTGAACCAGATCCAGGAGGGAAGTTCTGACCTTTGACCATGGATTGCACTAATGGACTGTTTCCAAACTAGGCTCCTGTGCTCAGTAGGGTTTGCTTTATGCGTTATTGCTTGGACTCCCAAGCAGGCAGTCCTCATCATCTTCTGCCCTCCATCCAAAGGATTTGCTGGAAGGAGGTGGGCTGGGCTGGACCATTCCTGCTTTTAAACAAGGCAGTCTTCGTTTCTTTCCCAGATTCTTCAAGTGGAAAATAACCAGTGTGTCGTTTTGGTCGGCAGATGTGTTTTGTGAGAATCCCTTACAAGGGAGCCACAGCTTCTTTTTGGCCAACCCTTGGACCTGATACCTGGTACCTGATGGGATGAGGTCTATGGACTCAGAAATAGACGTCATGGCTCTGTGTGTGTGTGTGTGTGTGTGTGTGTGTGTGTGTGTGTGTGTGTGTGTGTGTGTGTGTGTTTCTGATGCTGGGTGCTGGGATGACAGGCATTTGACACCATGACTACCTTTCTTTTTTTTTTTTTTTTTAAGATTTATTTATTATGTATACAGTGTTCTGCCTGCATGTGTCCCTGCAGGCTAGAAGAGGGAGCCAGATCTCATTACAGATGGTAGTGAACCACCATGTGGTTGCTGGGAATTGAACTCAGGACCTCTGGAAGAGCAGGCAGTGTTCTTAACCTCTGAGCCATCTCTCCAGCCCATGACTACCTTTCTTTACAGTGCTGGAGCTCGAACTCAGGGCTTTGTGCGTGCCGGGCAAGTACTGTGCCCCCTGAGTTACATCTGTTTGTCTGTCTGTCTTTCTCTTGCTCTCTCTCTAATGCCGCCTTCACAAGGACTGCCCTACCCTATGTATCAATCCTGCTTTAGACTCCTCAGTGTCAGGATCATGGCTTGTGCCTTCAGGCCCAGCTGGATTTGTCTCTGATCCTCACAATATCTTGTAATCTAACTTTGTTAGGTCAAGTTCATAAACCACAAAGATCCTCTTCCAAGCAGATCCATCTCTCCTTGCTATTCATTTTCTTTGTAGCCTTAGCTGTCCTGGACCTCACTGTGCAGACCAGGCTGGCCTCAAACTAAACTCAGAGGTCTGCCTGCCTCTGCCTCCGGAGTGCTGGGATTAAAGGGCGAGCACCACCGCCACCCAGCTCCTTCCCAGCTCCTTAAGCTGTTTCATCCTAGGGTTTCCTTGCTGTAGTTCATGGATAAAGACATGCCAATCTCAGAATTTCAGACGAGAAGGAATCACAGAGAACCTTGTATTTTATTCCCTGAGACATTAGATTCTGCTTTGGTAAAGAGGCTGACCTGGGACAGCCAAGGCCAACAAAGCTTATTTGGTAGGTCGCTGAGGCCTGAGGTCAAGTGACTTAAACAAGTCTTTAACATAACTCACTTTATATTCTGTGCATGAGTGTTTTGCCTGCATGACGTGCAGTGCCCAAAAGGCCCAAAAAGAGGACGTCTGATCTCTTCCCATTATAGGGTTGTGACCCCCATGTGCGGGCTGACAGTTAAACCCTGGTCCTCTAGAAGAACATCTAGTACTCTTACTTAGCTGCTGAGCCATCTATCCAACCCCCTAAACTTTGTCTTTGAACTAAGGGTTTGTGCAAGATCAAAGATCTACAGAGATCTAAATGACAATTGACTAACACATCAAGTCAATTTAAATGTCTTAAACTCCAGGATTAAGGTATTGATTTGGGTGTGAGCAGTTGCTTTGGGAGTTAGCCCTGAACCTGAAAGCGATCCTCAAGGGGAATCTTTTCTCTTCCAAGCCGATTGAAAGCTGGGATGGAGTAAGTATAGTGCAGTCACGCGGGGGAGAAGGTGCTCCCTGGTGCCGGCCTCATGTGTTAATCACTCTGGAGAACCTTCCCCATTCCCAGATGCATCTATTGTTACAGCTGAAGGACTTACTCCAAGTCTTTACAAATATTATCTAATGCCACCTCCCACCTGTGAATAGGTATTATCCCTGTTGAGGGGAGATTGGGCCTCACAGAAGTTAAATAATCTTCTAAAGATCAGTGCTAATAAGTGGTTTAGATCTCTAGTTGTGCCAAGGGCTTAACCACTGTACTATTATCTTATGTAATTGTTCACATATATTGTTTCCCCTAATACGGTGTGAGCACCTGGGCCAGGAATCCCACCTCTTTTGTTCATTGTGTGCCTCAACCTCAGGAGCAAAGTAGAGCTTGACGTGGGTGCCAGATAGAGAGGTGTTGGATTAATTAATAGTTACTGCCTTACTTGACTTTGGATTTATTTGTTAGATTGTGTATATGTGGGTATGTACCCGGGAGTCAGGGGCCTGAGGTGGCCAAGGCATTGGATCCCCTGGAGCTGGAGTTGCAAGCAGTTGTGAGCTGGCTTACATGGGCACTAGGAATCAAACTCCAGGTCTGTGAAAGATCCATGCACCGTTTCTCCAGCCCCTTGACTTCGTTGTAGTGCTGGACTTGGGAAAGCTAAGTTGTAGCAACATCATGTGCAATGTTTGGCTGCCATTACGCTGAGCATGTACGGTTCTGTGTTCCTCTCCATGGTCCTGTTAGTAGTTTGGGTCTATAAGGTGAGGCTTCGCCTACTCTAAAAGTTGGCATTCCTATTGGGTTGCTATTCTCTGGCTGTCCTGGAACTTACTATGGAGACCGGAACTCACAGAGATCCGCCTGCCTCTGCTTCCCGAGTGCTGGGATTAAAGGCGTGCGCCAGACCATGAGTTCAGTCCCCAGCGCTGGGGACGAAGCCACCATTCTATGATTTTGGTGAGATGACAAGCTGGGACAGAGATTAGAAAACTGCCAGGTCATGGGGGCCTAAAGCACCTGGAATTTTCTCTAACTTATTTTTTTCTTTCATTTCAGGAGTCGGAAAATTCAGATCCGAAACATTCCACCTCAGCTCCGATGGGAAGTAAGTGTCTGGGGAAATGCACAGTGGGGTGGAGACGGAGACAGAGACAAGGCTCGGTGTCCTTCTGAGTTGGTAGAAATGGCTAGAGAGGTCTCCCCTGGGTGTGGTGTTGGAAGGGTCTCATTTTTGCTCACACCCTGAGATAAGAGGCATTAGGGAGGTAGGGAGAGTGTCCCCTGAGTTTTAGAACTTTATTATGGTAGAGTCTGCCTCAGAGAGTCCCTTAGCACAGAGCCAGGTACATTCTTGCAAACACTGGAGTTGCCCTCAGGAGTAGGAGGCTAAGGAGATGGAACTGAAAAGTGATCAAAATGTCTAGTTCCTGCTGGTGCCCCAGAGCGTTGGCAAGGGGCGTGCGGGGCCCTGGGATACTCAACCATTTTCTACTCCTTCAGGTGCTGGACAGCCTGCTGGCCCAGTATGGAACAGTGGAGAACTGTGAACAAGGTAAGGCTGGGACAAGGGTGAGTGTGCGGGGAGCTGGATGGCTTCAGCACCATGCAGGTCTGTGACCAGATGCCCGGGAAGGTCCAGACAGAGCGGGTGCAGCAGCAGATAGGCTGGGCAACCGGCCCCCGAATGTGCCCGACGCGTGCCCATGTGGAGCCACGAAACCAGACTACTATGGTAGGCGGTCTGGACACCCCTCTTATATTTTTCCTTTTTTGGTTTTTCAAGGCAGAGCCTCACTATGTAGCCCTGGCTATTCCAAAATTTGGAGTATAGATCAGGCTAGCCTTGAACTTTGCCTCCTGATAAAAGTGTGAGCCACCACATCTGATTTATCACCCTTTCTCCTTGTCTGAGCCCCAGGCTTTCAGGAATTACAGTGTTTCAGTAGAAGTTTAAGAATGGAGATTTGGCCGGGCGGTGGTGGCGCACGCCTTTAATCCCAGCACTCGGGAGGCAGAGCCAGGCGGATCTCTGTGAGTTCGAGGCCAGCCTGGGCTACCAAGTGAGTTCCAGGAAAGGCACAAAGCTACACAGAGAAACCCTGTCTCAAAAAACCAAAAAAAAAAAAAAAAAAAAAAAAAAAAAAAAGAATGGAGATTTATGGGGACTGGGTATATTTAGTCCCAGCTGTTGAGTGGCAGAGGCAGGAGGATCTCTGTGTTTCTACAGATCGAGTTCTGAGACAGGCAGGGCTACCCAGAGAAACCAACTCCCCCCCCCCCCCCCCCAAACAGACAGGGTTTATTTGTTAATAGTTTTTGTAGGCAGAATCTTTTGACAGCTGTGCCCACAGAGGAAAGAGTGATAGGAATTCTAAGTCAGACAAAATTAGCTGTCATTTGTGAGGGTCCTCTGTTTCTAGGAGTGTAAATTCTTGCAGAGAAGATGGGCTTGGGGTGGTTAGGTTAGACATAGGGTTGTTATTAGATCTTTTTTTTAAAGCCAGCACGTGAGAGCATTCCATGTTCTTGGGTGTTGTGATGCATACGTGTGTATCCTGTCGTTAAGCCTGTCCGGCTCCTCACCTTGTCAGCTCTCTTCGGTGAGAACATTCAACATCTTGTAGCTCTCTGAAGTACTTGGTGCAGTGTGGTCTATGGCTGTCATAGTCTCCTTGGCTGCCTCTCCCCAGCCTTCCCTTCCCCAATTCTCTCCCAGGCCTTGGCACCCTTAACCATCTTTTTTCTCAGTTCAGCCAGACTGCCTTTCCCCCCCAGCCCTCCTTTTCCTACTTCCTCCCCTTTCCCCTACCTCCCCCCCCCCATCTCCACCTTCCTTTCCCCTTTCCCTTCCATTCTCTACCTTCAGTCTTGAGAGCTTGTAGTTACTTGTCTTTAGAGCCTGGCTTATTTAATTTAACTTGGTAATTTCTGGTTCCATCTAGTCACAGCTGATGGAATTTCTTTTTTCTTTTTTTTTGTTTTTGTTTTTTTCAAGACAAGATTTCTCTGTGAAACAGTCCTGGCTGTCCTGGAACCCACTCTGTAGACCAGGCTGTGAGTTCGAGGCTGGGATTAAAGGCGTGCACCACCACTGCCCGGCTGGGATTTCAATTTTTTAATGACTGAATAGTATTCCAGTCTGTGTGTTGGGGCCAGGTAGGGTGCATGAGTGAGTGAGCGCCCCCTGTTGGCCGCTTTAGATCGGTGCCTTTTCTTCCTTGTGAGTAGTGCAGCAGCCCACTTTTGGAAATCTTCAAGGAGCAGCCATTGCTTTGTCTGAGGTTTAAATATTCATTTCTAAATTCCTTGTGGGAAGGTGCAAGCTGTGTGTGCTGACAGATGATGACAGACCTTGCCTGCCCACCAGCGAAGCGCTGCTTTCTCTGCTCTAATCCTCTGACTTGCCTTTCATCTTAAATGCCAGAGCACAGCGGAATTAGCTGATAGTGGTTGCCCATGCATGCTTTCAGCTGGACTCATGAGTTAGACAGACCAGGGGGCCACTCTGAGCAGCATCTGCCACTGAAACGGACAGGCTTGGTCAGGTTGACACCTGAATCTGTCCCTGGAACCCACATGATGGATGGAGAGAGCTGACTTCCTAAAGTTGTCCTCTGACCTCCACACATCTAAACACACACACACACACACACACACACACACACACACACACACACACAAAATAGTTTTTAAAAAACGAAGAGGAGCCCACAGATGTGCTCAAGGCTCTCACCAGCCGAAGTGGCCTCCAACACAGTCCTTTTTTTTCAAGGTTTATTTATTATGTATACAGTGTTCTGTCTGCATGTGTTCCTGCAGGCCAGAAGAGGGCACCAGATCTCATTACAGATGGTTGTGAGCCACCACGTGGTAGCTGGGAATTGAACTCAAGATCTCTGGAAGAGTAGCCAGCGCTCTTAACCTCTGAGCCATCTCTCCAGCCCAAGCCCCTTTATTTTTAAAAAATATTATTTTTATATTTATTGTGCTTATGTGTGTGCACGCACACTTGCCATGCCCACCTTGTGGAGGTCAGACGACAACTTGGGCGTTGGTTTTCATGTGGGGCCCAGAGATGGGACTCAGGTCCTCAGCCCTGGCAGCAGGTGCCAGCTTTCCGCTGAGCCATCTGCACCAGTCCTTACTTGGTAATGCTAACTTTATGTGTGTGGATGTTGGCCTCCATCTGTGTGTGTCTCCACCACGTGTGTACAGTGGCCCGAAGAGGCCAGCCAAATCGGATTTCCTGGAAGTAGAATTACAGAAGGTTGTAAGCCACCATGTGGGTTCTGGGATCGAACTGGGTCCTGGGGGGGTTCTTAGCCACTGAGCCATCTCTGAGGTATATTTTGAGACAAAGCTTTCCTATATTTTTTGGTTGTGAGACTAGCCTTTAACGGCTGAGCCATCTCGCCAGCCCGACAAAGCTTTCTTTATCATACAGTCCTGAATTCCTGGTCTTTCTGAGACTGCAGGTGCACACCATAATGCTTGGCCTGAGGTTCTTCTGTCTGTCTCTTAATGTAATAACTTCCCATCACTGAAGTAGGTTAGTTTTAGTCCTGCTGGTGAGTTCAAGGTTAGCCTTTAGCTATATAGTGAGCTGCAAGCCAACCTGAGGTGTGTTGAGTGAGACCCTGTCTCACAAAGTCAAAGGTTGAGGGGTGTAGGTCAATACTAGAGTTGTATAGCTCGTGCAAAGGCCCAGGGGTTCAATTTCCAGTGATTCAAAATTAATTAAAAGTAAGGTGGTAACCAACAAATCCAAACTCCGGGATGGGATTGATTCTCATGACGCATAACTGGTGGCCCCAGTGTGCCCCATGCCCACTCTCAAGGTGTTTAGAATGCTGGAGCCTGGAATTCCTTCTCTGGAAAACGTCTTTGTGGATATTCCAAGCTTACAGAATGGATTTAGGTAGTCCCAAGTCACTTGAGGCATTGAGAAAAGGAGACCCAAGCCATTTTCTTGACGACTTACCTCTGTAACTGTCTAATCTCACCCACCAGCTGTTGTTTTTTTGGCTGGTTGGACTTTCCTAGGGTGAGTCTGCCTCCAGAGTAGAGATGTGTGTGGTGGGGGTGCCGGAAAACCTTCGCCAGCCCTGGCACTCCCAGGGTCTCCGGTGAAGGAGGGCGGTCTCCTGGGAAGTGTCTTTTCACTTGTCCTCTGAGTATATTCTAGGGCTCCGTAGTCCCGTGCTCCACCTACAAACAGGCTTGAGTTTGTTGGCAGCGCTAACTCTGGTGGTCCGTTGGTCTTCTACAGTGAACACAGAAAAGTGAAACAGCCGTGGTCAACGTCAGCCTACTCGTAACCGGGAGCAGGACCAGGCAGTGAGTACCTCAGAAGTGGGACTGGGGGTCTCCAGAGGGGTGTTGGAGATGGGTTCTACTCAGACCCCTGTGGGTAGGGTCCAGGCAGGCTGGAATCCTCAGCTGCCTTCTGGTGTTGGATCCCACAAAAGGTCTTTTCAGGGGGCCATGTTTCCTTGATGTTTTGTTTCAGAAGTGAGAAATTTACCCATAAAGATGAATGGGGAGGGGGGGTCGACTAGGAGAGGAGATTGTCTCAGTACCCAGGACTGCAGAGTCCTGTATGTGTCGATGGCGCCATCTATTGGTTATGAGGGGGACCTGCCTCGTTCAAAAAAAAAAAAAAAAACCGAAGGTGGATCAAAAGTGTTTCCCGTTTGAGACCATAGTGACCTCCAGTTCACTTACACAGGCAAGGGCTACCCCAGACTCCTGATTTTCCTACCCCCTATTTCCTGAACGTTGGGATTGTAGGTGTGGGTTGCTGCTCCTGGATCCAGTGTGTGATGCAGGATGGTTCAGAGCCCAGCTGCTGTCCCCACCACCACCATCACAGGTCCCAGCTCCTTAGCCCTTAGGTCCAGCATTTACAGTTCTCACTCCCTGGGTGGACAGACCACACGCTGTGTACACTGATTGTTTCTAGCCCTACCTGGTTGTCACAGGGTTTTGCCACATTTTGTTGTTTGGTTTTCTTGCTTCAACATTTTCCAGTGGTCTTAAGTGGAAAAGCATGAGGCCTTGCTGTATTGATGACTTTTCCCTTAGTTTAGACTGGAAGATTCCCTAGAGATGGGGTGGCAGACAGGTGGTCAGCTCCCCATCTGCAGTGTGGTCCCAGCTGTAGCCGGTGCTTTGTGGAAGGAGGCACTGGATGTGATTGGCATGGTTGGAGTGACCGCTGGACTTCTCTCTGTCCCCAGAGCCATTATGAAGCTCAATGGCCACCAGCTGGAGAACCATGCCCTGAAGGTCTCCTACATACCTGATGAGCAGATAGCCCAGGGTCCCGAGAACGGGCGCCGTGGAGGCTTTGGCTCTCGGGGCCAGCCCCGGCAAGGATCCCCTGTGGCATCGGGTGCTCCGGCCAAGCAGCAGCAAGTAGACATCCCCCTCCGGCTCTTGGTTCCCACGCAGTATGTAGGCGCTATCATCGGCAAGGAGGGTGCCACCATCCGCAACATCACAAAACAGACTCAATCCAAGTGAGTACTGGGAGAGGGAGGCTGGGTACAGGAAACAGATTGGGGCCCGGAGAGGCTCCTGGGAATTGTTGTTTGGGACGGGGTCACTCTTGCCATATTACCTTTGTGTGGAGGCTGGGCAAACGGGAGACAGAATGGGTCTCTGGGCCGTACACTGTCACCTACAGTTTCCATAATTCCTTGTATCAAGTTGCTCCAGGAAACCCAGTCCTGTGAGTTGAGTCCCTCACTCCTCAGGTATTCTGTGATAAGTGGCCGCTTGATGGCCACAGCGTGGCTAAAGTCAGGGCCCTTTGCCACAAGTCATAATTACGTCCCACCTCACACTGTAGTGTAGTCACCCGCTTCCCTTATCTTCATAGTCGATCGATCGGTGCTTATGGGAAAGAAGAGCTCGGTTGTGTCCTTATTCATAGAAAATCGTTTATTTCCTTGTAGTTGGGACAGTGTGTCTCCCTGGTACAGTGTTTGAAAAAGGACACTAGAAGGGGAAAACAGCTTCATAGCCACACACACCTGGCAGTGTCCCCACCCAGCAGCTGTGAGGTGTTTGGCATTGTCCTCTCCAGCCACCTCCTGACAGGCTGGCAGAGCAGCACCCGCCATGGTTCCCTGGCCCTCTCTTTACTTCCCGGTTCTACACTTGACAGGCCCCATTCCAAGGAGAGTGGGCTCTGTGCTTTGATAGGAGGTGGGAAGGGGTGTTACTGGAGACACGCTAACGGGCTTTGTCCTTGTGGTCCTCAGGATAGACGTGCATAGGAAGGAGAACGCGGGAGCTGCCGAGAAGGCCATCAGTGTGCACTCAACCCCTGAAGGCTGCTCCTCGGCGTGTAAGATGATCTTGGAGATAATGCACAAGGAGGCGAAGGACACCAAAACGTAAGATCGGCTGCACTTCTGGGGACTGCTGCCCCCCAACCCACCCCCCCCCCCCTTTTTTTTTTTTTGCTGTGCTGAGTCAAGCCTCAGGCTTCACACTTGCCAGGCGGACGCTTGGCTGCTGGGCCACACCCCAGCCTCTACTTGTAATTGCTCATATCAGCGATACAGAGGTTAGGAGAGAGTCGTAAACGGCACAAAAACATAGTCTAAGATCTTTACTTGTATAATCATCTAGAAATTTTATGTGCTCAGTGTCTCCGTTTGTGTCCATATATATGGATGTGTGTGTGTTTGAGTCCACATAGATGGAGTGTGTGTAGGAGAGTGTGCATGTGTCAGCACAGAGGGTCAGGCTGAAATGCTGCTCTCTACCATTATAATTTTGTGTGTGTCAACACGTCTATCAGTAAATCTAAAGCCCCCACAGAGACAGAAGTGACGCAGGACTTGAACTATAGCACAGTGACATGGGGTAGATGCTTGCATACATGAGAACCTGGGTGTGGGCCCCACTAATGCAAAGAAGTACAGGGGATTCACTTCCAGTACCTTCGGAGTTGGGGTTCTTTGGTGTGGGTGGCAGTATTTGAGGCTGGATCTCACTGTAGCCCAAGATAACCTTGAACTCTCCTGTAATCCTGCCTCCCAAGTGCTGAGATTAGTTTCTTTTTGTTTTCTTTGAATGGCTCTGGAGTTGGAGAGACGGCTCAGCCATTAAGAGTGGATAGTGCTCTATTAGAGGACCAGAATTCGGATCCCACCATTCATGTCGGGTAGCTCACAAACTTGAAACTCAAGCTCTAAGGGGTCAGTGCCCCCCTTTCTGACATCCATGGGCATCTTCACACATTCCCGCTGTCTCTCTATCTCTCTGTGTGTGTCTCTCTGTCTCTCACACACACACACTTAAAAGAGAGAGTCTTTCACAGTCCGGGTTAGGAGCTTACGGTCCTCCTGCCTACCCTGATAATAGGTGGGCATCATCACACTATTTCGGGTGGTTTTGTTCGTCTGGCTTTTTTATTTGTTCTGTTGTTTTTCATGATAGGGTTTCTTGTCCTAGAACTCACTCTGTAGACCATATGTGCCTGCCTCTGCCTCCCAAGTGCTGGGATTAAATGCAGGCATTTCGTTTCGTTTCTTTTTTTTTTTTTTGAGACAAGGTTCTCTGTGTAAGTTCTGGGATTCACTCTGTAGACCAGGCTAGCTAGCCTCAAACTCAGATATACTCTGCCTCCTAAGTGCTAGATTAAAGGCGCTTGCCACCCCGGTCCGCTCAGTTGTTACTTTCTTGTTACAGCTTTATTGGGATTCAATTAGTACAAAAATGTTGTTTGTAGACATGTCGCCTAGATTGGCCTAGAATTCCTGGGCTCAGTGGATCCTCAGCCTAGAGTATCTGAGACTGTAGGCACATGCCACCATGTCTGGCTTAATTGTGTATTATTTCCCTTTTCTTTCTGCTCCCTCAACCCCTTCACCTTGGGGGTGGACAGCTCAGCTAAATTCCTGAGCTAAATTCTCAGACCCTATCTCACCTGCTTTTCCTGTGTCCAGTTTGGTGATTTTTCGAGTGTCCAGTTTGAGTTTCGATTTGTATATGGTAGTACCTGTTGAAACCATGATCACAGTTGAGAGAAAGCTTTAGCTCCCAGATTTCATCCTGCTTCCCACAGGCCATCCTCATCCACCATTTCTCTGTAAACCACTGATCTGCTGGGTTTTGTAATCCTGTGATACTCGATTTGTGGTTTGTCCTGGGATTGTTCGTTGTGAGTGACCCCATGGTTGAGTCTTTGTTGGCATTATTGACTGTCCCCCTTCCTCCCCCCCAGGGCAGATGAGGTTCCCCTGAAGATCCTGGCCCATAATAACTTTGTGGGGCGACTCATTGGCAAGGAAGGAAGGAACTTGAAGAAGGTGGAGCAGGACACGGAGACAAAGATCACCATCTCCTCGTAAGGCTCTCAATGGGTCCCTTTACTGGCGTGGCGAGCATGGGGCCTGGGGTACCAGGGATTTCAGTGCTCAGCCTTAGTACCTGCCTCTTAAATTGGGCACTGCTTCCGTTGGCATAAGGCAAACAGGAGAAGTGATGAGATCATTTTCTACCTCTTGATAAGGGCTGGGACACCCCACCTCTTGGCACAGTCTACCTCTGCATCTCCAGGAAAGCCTGCAGCTAGGGTGTGGGCTTTAGGAATGTCTGCCACTGTGAGAGGTGCACAAACCTTGCTCCTTTTTAGCCTGGGCATGCTGGGCTGCCTCAGAAGACCCAGTGAAAGGTACAAGTTAGCTATTTGTAAGCACCCTGCCTCTCCATTTCCTTAGAGACTGACCTGTTTGCAGGGTAACTCTTCTGTAAAACAGCACAGATAAGGACCGCCTGCAGCAATCCTGCATGTGTGGCCACCACACCTCTCACAGTAGGTTCTGTTCCCACAGAAGGGATTTCCGTGCTTGTTCTGTGCTCCTTGCCTGGTCACCTGAGGCTGGAGATAACTTAGCCAGCCTTTAGAAACGCTGGCCCTGTAACTCAGCTGCTCTTTGACCTTGTCCCTGGCTGGGGCCTGGTCCAGTCCTTCCTTGTCCCCTGCTTGACACGGCCCTGCTCTCCTGCCAGGCTCCAGGATCTCACTCTCTATAACCCCGAGAGGACCATCACCGTGAAGGGGGCCATTGAGAACTGCTGCAGGGCTGAGCAAGAGATCATGAAGAAAGTGCGAGAGGCCTACGAGAATGATGTGGCTGCCATGAGTGTGAGTGAAAGGCGGCATCCTCCTGTGTTTGTGCAGGGAGTTGAACCCAGACCCTGGAGATAGGCAAAAGCTGTACCCTGAACTACATCCCTAGCCCCTCAGCACCCTTCTCTGAACTTAGGGCAGGGCTCCTCATCTGGCTCCTGAGGTGGGGTTGGGGCATAATCTTGGGTTTCATGGGTTTTTATACTTTAGCCAATCTAGATTGGCTAAAACTTGTGTACCGTAGTAGACAGAAGGGTCACAATTTCAACTTTTTCTGGGAGAAGACTTCACCATGTAGGCTAGAACTGAATTCAGTCCTCCTGCCTTGACTCGCAAGTGCTGGGATTACTGGCATGTGCCACCACACCCAGCTCATAGGGTGTGTGTGGTGTGTGTGTGTGTGTGTGTGTGTGGTTATGTGTATGCAGAGACCAGAGGAGGACATCAGATGTCCTGCTCTTTCACTCATCCCCTTATTCTATTCAGACACAGTCATTTACAAACCTGAAATTAGGTGCTAGAATTAGGTGAGTAACAGCGAAACCCAGCAATCCTGTCTCTGTCCTCCAAACCCCACTGGGCTTAGGGACATGGTATTGACACTCAGGTCCTCAGTGCTCTTTCCCACTGAACCATCTTCCCTGTCCCTACCACAGATTTTGCTTGTCACCATCTGGTCTTGTTTGAGACAGGGTCTCAGCATGTAGCCCAGGCTGGCTTGGAACTTGATAAATAGAACCATCCTCTAACTCATAGAGATTGATCTGCCTCTGTCTCCCAATAATGGGATTCTGTTCTCCCCATGCCCTGTCCCATCTTGGACTTTGATAGGATAGGATAGGGGATAGGATATTTAGCAGAAAGGGTCGGAACTACTTGGGCCCCAGGAATCAAAGGGAAAGTCCCAGTTTCTCACAGAGGGGCGTCACATTCAGACTATGGGCCTGTTTTGTTTCCATCAACGTGGCAGAAACAAATAGGAAGCCTGCCGGTTGCCTTCCTGCTCGGACATACCAGTTTAGTCCAGTGAGGACATCTCCATGGCTCAAGAGAACCCACAATGCCAGGCAGGTTTTGACAGAAGCAAATAACTCCTGTGGGGAGCTGACTTGCGCTGGGGGTGCCTGCTCCTGTAGGTTCTCCAGAGCCACACACCAGGGCCCAAGACCCCTCAGCAAGCTGAGCTCACAGGCCAGGCTCACCGGGGCCTGTGGGCAAGCTGAGCTCACAGACCAGCCTCACCGGGGCCTGTGGGCAAGCTGACCTGGACCTCCCGTCTCTCCTCCAGTTACAGTCCCACCTCATCCCCGGTCTCAACCTGGCTGCTGTAGGTCTATTCCCAGCTTCATCCAGTGCGGTCCCACCACCTCCCAGCAGCGTCACTGGGGCTGCCCCCTATAGCTCCTTCATGGTAGGTGGAAGGTCTTATTATCAGGGACCCATGGAAGTCGGGGGAGGGGACATTGGCAGGACGGAGGGAAGAGAGACCTGCAGGCAGAATGCCAGCTCCAAGGAGGGCAGCCCGCCGAGGTAGCTCCTGTGGTGGCGGGGGCAGCTTTGCACTGGATTTTGCTTCCCTTTAGCTAGAGGGGGGCTAAAAGGAACCCGTGGTGTCCTTTCATGGCCCAGGGTGCAGCTGGGTACCCGCATCTGTTTCTTTGGGAGGTTGTGAGGAAATTGGGTAGAGGGGCTCCTGGGTCTTGCCTCACCCCACTCCCTGGTCCTTTAGTAAGGAGTCTCTTGTCCTGGCAGCAGGCTCCGGAGCAGGAGATGGTCCAAGTGTTCATCCCCGCCCAGGCTGTGGGCGCCATCATCGGCAAGAAAGGGCAGCACATCAAACAGCTCTCACGGTTTGCCAGCGCCTCCATCAAGGTGATTTGCTTTGAGATCTTCCAGGTCTAGTGTGAACCCCAGCTCCCTTCACACTTTGGGGAATGAAAGCCCAGTCCCCAATGGGTGTCTTAAGTACTTCTAGGTTTCCAGGCTATAGAAGAGACAATATTACGAATACTGCAGGCTGAAATATTGCCCAAAATAGAATGGACCCAGTCCCGGCCCATCTCTTTTTGGGAGGGGGAGGGAGGTTTTTCGAGACAAGGTTTCTCTGTAGCTTCGCGCCTTTCCTGGAACTCACTCTGTAGCCCAGGCTGGCCTTGAACTCACAGAGATCCACCTGCCTCTGCCTCCCAAGTGCTGGGATTAAAGTCGGGCGCCACCACCTTCCCGCCAGTCCCCAGCCCCTTTCTAAACCAATACCCCAACCCCTTGCTGGACTCTGTCAAGTCTCAGTGTCCTGGTGTGGGATGTAGGAAGCAGGCGGGGCCTAGCAGTGAGCACCATGTACTGGTTGTCTTTGCTCCCTGGATCCAGGATCCAGGAGAGTGAGGGGCCTCTCATCACAAAACCAGTGCTGTTAATCTTACGGGTCCAGATTCATGGGTTTCATTCTATGGCATTTAAAGCTTTGTGATTCCCTCCCCGACCCCGAGAGGTGTAGCCACTACCTTCTCTATTTCATAATTCCCTGCCTCTCGGCAGCCCCCTGCTAAAACCCTCAGATGGGGTGGTGGCGGGGAACAGTCCTGCTGCAGAAGCATCACTGAGGCAGGTCCTACTAGCTGCTGCCCATGCTGTCTTCACAGGTCTCGTGTGCAGACAGGAACTTGGGTTTGAGACTTTTTCTTCTCTTTATCTCAGAGTGGGCGATGGGAGGGAACTAGAGGGGATGGCGATGCCTCCGTCTTCCTCGGGAAGCAGCCCCCTCTGACCACCTGTGTGCTTTGTAGATTGCTCCCCCAGAAACACCTGACTCCAAAGTTCGGATGGTTATCATTACTGGACCCCCAGAGGCTCAGTTCAAGGTTTGGTCTATATTGCTTTTCCAGGGTGGGTACAGGGGAGGTGAGGTTGGGAACCTAACGTGCAGGGAAAAGGCTGGGACAGCTTCTCTTTGCCGTCAGATTACTGTCACGGGTCCACAGCTGCAAAGCTACTTTCAAAGTGCCGGCAAGCTTAATTTCTGTTCATTTCCACTCACTTCCTCACAGTCCACACAGGAATGTGAGAAAGAGGGGCATCCGAGGTGTTTGCATTTGATGCCGACACCCCTTCTTTTTATGTCTCCACCCTTCACTTGATCTGTGAGGATAGAGACTGAGTAGCTAATTGTTGCCATTCATGGTTGTGATGCGTCAGTACTGCCACATCCCAGAACCTGTAAGTGGGACATCCTTTGAAGTATTTACTCATTTCCTCTTTAGGAGGGAGTTGGGAAGAGATTAAGGCAGGGTCTCAGTATGTAACTCTAGCTGGCCCAGAACTAGTTCTGCAGACCTGGTTGGCTATGAACTTGTGGTGATCCTCCTGCCTCCGTAGTGCTGGGATATTGATTTACTCGTGGCTCATGTCTGACGGTCTCCAGCGTTACAGATAACCAGGGGACCATTGGAAGTCACCCCTAGGGACTGTCACCACTTGTCTCAGCTGCTGGTCCTCGGGAGGGTTCTGGCCACTTGGATGCTCTTAAAGAGCCTGGACTGGAGCCTGGGGGCCACGTGCCTGCCTTCCACCTGGATACATGGCTGCTCTAACCATGACCTCCACTCCCTAGGCTCAGGGAAGAATCTATGGCAAACTAAAAGAAGAGAATTTCTTTGGTCCCAAGGAGGAAGTAAAGCTGGAGACCCACATACGGGTACCAGCTTCAGCGGCTGGCCGGGTCATCGGCAAAGGCGGCAAAACGGTGAGCTCCGAGGGCCGACAGCACCAGGCCTCGCTCGCTAACCCCCCCCCCCCTTTTGTCCAGCGTTCTCCCTCTCACCCTCCTCTGTCCACTGACTTGACTCTAGTTCCCAGGCCCGGCGCCATTCACCCTCCTCCGGGCCCACGGTGTCTGGTTTTTCTTTTTGTGGTGCTAAGTCTTGAACCCAGGACCTCATGCACTGAACACAGCATTCCCCCACGAGCTGCCCTCCTCCTCTTCCTCTGCATCTCGCTGCTCTGAGCTTCTCTCTGGCTGCCCCGCCCCTAGGTGAACGAGCTGCAGAACCTGACGGCCGCCGAGGTGGTAGTGCCAAGAGACCAGACCCCGGATGAGAACGACCAAGTCATCGTTAAGATCATCGGGCATTTCTATGCCAGCCAGGTATGTACTATCTTCCCCCACCTCCAGAGGGCTCAGGAGCCAGGAGCAGGGAAACGAGGCCTCTCAAGGTTGTGACCTGCACGGGTCCTCTGGGAGCTCCCCATACCTGCCTGCCCTGGCCTAGTTGGTCTGGTTCAGTTGCAGGAGTGAGGGTGGGAATGTTGTCCTCTTTACACTCTTCAGTGTCTCTAGGGGTGAAAGTGCTTATCACCAAACACAAACCCGAGTGCAGTCTCCAGTACCCGTGTGTTCGCAGAGAGAGCCAGCTTCTGGACATTGTCTTCTGAACGAAGTGTGCAGATGCACACAATTCATACATTAACGGTTTCCAAGTATATTGTGTATGACACATAATGGTTGGATCTAGTATATATTCATAGTCTCCTTAGTTGTCCTGAACCCCGTCTGCACTGGATAAGAAGTTAGTATTCAACTTTGTCCATGGAATGATAACAGTCAAACCCCGGGATTCTCTCTGTTCCCTGTTTACCCTCTGGCCTACCATATAGATGAGGCTGCCCCTCCACTCTGAGTAATCCTGCTTCCGCCTCCTTAAAGCTGGGGTTGCAGGTAAGTCACCACACCTGGCTTTGTGCTGTCCCAACTCTTCATCATCCCCTTTCCCACTGTCACAGGGGTGCCTCCGAAGCCAGAAAGCAGTGCCAATCTCAGGTTCAAATCTGGTTGACCTTGAGCAGGGGGAGGAAAAGGTTGACTCTCCTCAACCCTCAGCACGTCCCAGTGTTACACATCTTCAGCTTACCAATGTGCTGTGGCCCTTGGGGGCTGTTTGAGCAGGCAGGGCCAGAACTTTCAGCCCAACCCACAGACCCTCTCTGCTGAGTTATCTGGTATGGGTAGCTTTCTTTTAAGATCTTTGAGAAACAGTGACAGCCTCGGGAATGATACCTAAGGTTTAGGATTATGCTGGACCCAGCCCTGTCTCACAGGCTTTGTCTGTATTAACTCAGTTAAGCCTCACAAGAACTGCGTTATTCTAATGAGGGAGATGAGGCTGGTGAGGACAAATGGTGGATCCCCGCTCACACGGTTCTGGGTGCGTTGCCGACAGTATTTCAGGTGTTCCCAAAAGAACAGTGGAAATCTATGTGAAAAGCTGCAAGGCCAGTGAGCTCTCTCCCTTCCTCCTTCCTTCCTTCCGTCCCTTGTGTGTGCTGGCTTGCGTCCACGCGTGCGGATTCACTATGTAGCCTAGACTGGCCTCAAACTCTCGGGCCTTCATTTCACGTGTTGATTGTGTGTATGGATTACCATACTTGGTCTGAACTCATAAATTCTGAATACGGACCAGCTTCCTCTTCAAGCCCTCTGTTTATGGAGAAGAGACAGCCAGGGATGTGGATCCCACTTTGCAGTCCGTTTCCCTTCTAAAACTTTATCTTATTCCTGGGAAAATTTGAGAAAAGTTCTCGTTATGTGGCCCCGATGTAGAACTTCTTCATACACCAGGCCTCTAATTCCCAGATCCATCGGCCTCTGCCTCCCAAGTGCAGGGGTTAAAGGTGTGTACCACTACACCTAGTGGGAAGAAATTTGTAGTTTTGTTTTCTTTTTAAGGTGAATGGGTTTTTTGCCAGCGTGTGTCTGTGAACTACATGTACTCAGTGCCCTCAAAAGCCAGAAAAGGGCATCGGGTTATCCTGGAAACTAGAGTTAACAGTTGTTAGCTTCCATGTAGGAACTGGGGTATGTATGAACCCTGGTCCTCTGGAAAAGCCGCCAGTGCTCCTGACGGCTGAGCCGTCCTTCTCGCCCCAGTGGAAGGACTTTTTAAGATTGAAAGTGGAAGCTGCTCTCTTGGGGGCTTCACCCATTTCATAGGGGAACTGTCCCATCACTGTAATATATGATCGGGACATCATGAAGTTTGCTTATGCCTAGGAGCTGCAGTTCCATTTCCGTAGCATGTCAGAGTGTCCCGTCCCTCCCCCCACCCCACATCCCTCCCTGCCTCGGGTCTTGGTTTATTCAGTAGAGGTTGTTGAGTGGCAGGTGCCCTTTCTTCCTCATCGGCCTCCTCCTTGCCTGTTCTCAATGCAGATGGCGCAGCGGAAGATCCGAGACATCCTGGCTCAAGTGAAGCAGCAGCACCAGAAGGGACAGTGCAACCAGGCCCAGGCACGGAGGAAGTGACCGCCCCTTCCTGTCCCGTTGGCTCCAGATCAGCAGGCAGACCGCAGAACTGGAGGGCGGAGGGCCAGTGTGCTCTTCCCAGCAGGCCTGAGAATGAGTGGGAATCAGGGGCTTTTGGGTCTGGCTGGAGATCAGGTTTGCCCACTGTCTTGAGAAAAATGTTCCAGTGAGGAACCCTGATCTCTTGCCCCCAATTCAGTCAGGTGGCCATGACGGCCCCCTTGGAATGTCACTGTTGCAAATGTCGCTTGGGTTGCTTTTAAACGTGGATTGTTTTGAGGAAGTTCTCCAGCCTCCATCAGAAAGATGGGTAAGCTCCCAGCGGGGAAGAGAAATAAAATTTCCTTCAGGTTTTATTAAACCTCAAAGGATGGTTTGTTTCTTGACCCCAGAATCTTTCTAACCTGACTCCTTGGTTAACTTGATGAAAATTCCTCCATTTTCAATGCCTTGACCCAATACCTTAGCGCCTCCTGTACTCATGTACACTGTTTTAGCCTTGTTACTATGGGGTGATGTTGGGGGGCTGGAACGCAACTTTGTTTACAATATTAACTGTGGAGAATACTTGTTATTAGTGCTTTCATTCTGATCCTTCCTCAACCAGCCAGTGGGAACAGCAAGATAAAAAGAAGAAGGAGAGAGAGGATAATTAAAGTATATACTGATCCACGTTTAAAAGGAGTCCTTGGGCTGAGGATAGAGCTCAGTGGTCAGAGTACTTGCCTGGCATGTTCAAGGCCCTGGGTTCCATCCTTGGCATCACAAAAAGAAAAAAGATAGCATACCCTTGTGGGTGAGCTATTGCAGATCGCCATCTAGAAAAATTGGCACAACAGAAATTTCTCCTGCTCAGCTGGGACTTCCCCACCAAGATTTCCCCACTACTTGTATGCCCATCTAACCCTGTGGGTTCTGCATGGTGCCCTGGTACACATGGGTGGTACCGCATGCTCAGCAGGGTGAGGGCTGACCACTGTCCCTGATTCCTATCATTCTCAGGCGGATTTTATATTTTTTTAAAGTCTATTTTAATGATTGGATATATGAGCTCTGGGAAAGGGGGTGTGAGCTCCCTTTGATAAAGTCTCAGTTCCATGGAGGAGTCGAGTGGTCCAAAGGTGCCCTCACTCCAACCCGTGTGCTCTTAGAAGGGCTGAGGCAGGCATTGCGGTGTATTTCTCGCCACGGCACACTGTTTCCTTGTGGTGGTGGGACCTACCACCCAGCCCTGAGCTCCCGAGAAAGCTTAAAGTCCATCATCTGGCAAACTTAGTCAATTGGAGAATATTGTTTCTGTTGTTATTGTAGAGGAGTATTTAACTGACTGCTTATGCCTCCATGAACTGCCATTGTTAGGAAAGGCATGCCTGAAAGCAAACTTCAGAATACCAGCAGCATTATGCACAAAGGGTGGACACACTTAATTTATTAATTTACCAGGCTCCGTAAGATCCTGTTGGAAGTTTAGCCCTCATGGAGGACAGTGGCCATCGGTTAAGTGAGGCTAGGCCTCCCCTCCTAATACTGTACTGATTGTAATGCATTTCAGCCAGGTGATGCACTTTAGCTCCCCTGGACAGTACTATCACGCGTGCTGGGAAGAAAGGCAGGCCTCTGCATGTGGAAAGGCCCATGCACAGAGCTCCCCCTTCCTGGCATTGCAAGGACAACAGTGACGAGCAACCATGATGTGTGGGCGGAGTCAGGCAGTGCTGTGCTAAGTGAACTACCTCAAGGTGTGAAGTTACCTCAGCAATGATTTCCTTTTGTTCCCTGAACCCTGGTTTTTCATTTTTTTATTCTTTTCTTTTTTTTTTTTCTGATTTTTTTTTTCTTTGCGGCTTGCTGATATTTTATATAAAAAAGAAAAGCAAAAGAGAAGCTGATAGTCTTGAATATTTTATTTTTTTAATGAAAAGAAAAAAATGAGAAAGTTATGTTTCATAATTTCTTACAACATGAGCCAGTAACTTTAGGAGCTCTGTGGAGAACAGGCCCTGTGGGGAAAGGTGGGGGCTGGGGGCTGGATCCAGGGGAGGAGTGGATAACCCCAAAGGTACCCAGGCCTAGGACCTTGCTGGGTTCTGATCTCTGACCTTGAAGTAGGATTTAAGATCTGGCAGAGCTTGGACCCTTGGGGACCAAACAGCAGTGTCCACTAACCAGCTGGCCTGTGGGCATCCCTCCCTCCTCCTGTGGTGAAACAGGACCTTAGCTGGGTTTTCCTACCAGTGGTGCTGTTGTTATTTTAAGATATTGCCTCCGTTTTATCGAGGAGAGAAATAATAACTAAAAAATATAACCTTTTAAGAAAACCTGTATTTCTTAAAAAAATATGGGAGCCAAGATTCCATTTATGGGAGAAAGACAAGGCCACCCTCTCGCCCCGCGGGAGGCCCACCTGGTTTCTTAGCGCGGTGCTTTCCGTGTCTATTTTTTGGTTATTGTTTCGTTTCCATCCGACCTATTCTTAGTCTGTATCATTCATAAGACTGGAAGGCAGGCAGATCGTCAGTGACTGCCCTCCCCCATCTCCCTGTCTTCTCCAGGTTGATTTGGCTGATACTAAAAGTGGACCTGTTAGGTAGGACATTCTTGATAGAGGGTGGTGGGTAGCCAAGAGGGAAGGGGAAATGGTAAACAGGACTGGGACAGGGTCTTAACTTTGGTATGCTCCCTGTGACAGCCCCCCATGGCCTCCAGACCATCTAGTCCAAAGAGAGAATGGTAGGGGGTAGTAACAGGCCTGTCCCAGACACAAAGAAAGGGTCTCCCGACTTCCCAGCTGGCTCTACATGCTTTGTCCCTAAACAAAGCAGACAATGTTCAGACATCGGCCATTTAGTGATTGAAAGTGGATTTCTTGCAGCAAGCATGCTTTGATACACGGTTCAAGTGATCATTGGGGGGTGGGGGGATATCCCAGAGTACCTGAAATGAGATTGTTGGAGTGCTCCATTCCTTGGGGGCCTGCTCCCTTCACACCTGCAGCCCGAGCCCTCCTCCTTTGGTTGATTGAGCTCCCAGAAGAGATCAGAGAGTGTGGCAAGGGACCTGGAAACTTACGTGGACTGGGCAAAGTTCCACTGTGGCTGGACTTACCCAGCAGGAAGATTGTGAAGTTGGCTTACTAGAAAGCAAGAATATGGATTAGGGGTCAGAGGTCAGCAGGCAGGGAGAGACTGTCCTGTCTTGGGTTGTCCTATGACCCGAAGGCCAGATCTTAGGGCAGCTCCTTGCCCTTCTGGTCACCTCTTTTTCCCCCCATCCTAGGTAAGAAAGCAAACTATTACAAAAAGCACTTGGGAGATTTGGATGGTATTGAGAAAAGCAACTTTAAAAAAAAAATGCTTCCTGCCCTAAGGTGTATATATATATAGAAAGAGGTGTATGTGTGTGCGCCACACATGTATTTTTATGAAAGGACCATCTCTTTAAGGATCTATTTTTTTTTTTTCAATTCTTTGAAACACATAAGAAGCCAAATGGTTTGATTCACTGACTTACTTTGAAGCTGCGCCTGCCGCTCACACCGCGCGGGCTTTAACCCCCTCTGGGGTCTGGTTGCCTTTTGTTGTTTGGGCTCTGGCCTCAGTTGTTGGAGGGGGGTCTAGGCAGAAGAGCACCATAGCTGAGGACAGGAAAGTGCTGTGGCCCTTGACTCTTCTCTAGTCCTTTCTGTTTTCATTTTCTCCCCGAGCTCTCCACTTTTGGGGAAAACTCATGCCTCACTGTTGGCCGAAGAGACCCCATGTGAAAACCCAGAGGACGCTGGGGCAGGATGCTCCAGTGGGTTCTGTGTTTCTATTTTCCTTTGTGCCAAAGACAGACAGACAGACAGACAGAGGCTGAGAGGCTGTTCCTAAGACAAAAGCAGTGGCCGGCCATCTTTCTACATCTCCTAGGCCTGTCTGCAAGGGGGGAGGGGCCTGGAGACAGTGTACACTAAAGACAAGGACCCACTCTTCTTAAGCTCCTGGGGGATTTGGGAGTGGTGCTTGCCAAGGGCTAGGGAGCAGGAAAAAAGGGGGGTCCTTGGGTTCCCAGTTGCACTTTGGGGAAGGAGGGACATTTCGGGCTCCTGGTGGACAGCTCTCCTCCCCTGTCCCCACTGCAGAGACGGCACCGTGGAGTTCCCTTCAGGCCTGGCAGACTGGCAGTGAGGAGGGGCCTCAGTTAGCTCTCAAGGGTGCCTTCCCCTCCTCCCTTCCCAGACACCCTCTGCCAAACTGGGAACCATCAGTGCTCCTAACTACCTCAGCCCCAGAGGGCGCCAAGCCTCGCTGAGCCCCAGGAGGAGCTGGAGCCTTCAGGCACCTCTTCTCTTTGGGGCAAGGTCTCCTTTCCTTTCCCGAAGTGTTCGTCGGGGGAGACCCTGGTGGCTTTGCCATTCAAACCACACAACTGTTTTGCCTGTTTGTTGAAAACCAATAGAAGGAAAACATTTCCGCTTGACAGGACATTGTAGGAAGATTGAAGAGAAAGCCTCATCAACGCCAGGGGATGTAAAAGCCATTTTCCTTCCAGATACTTGATGGTTTAGGTGCAGAATGTTTCTCTTGTATTCAGACATAGAGTGTAAACCAGCCGAAACTCCCTGTTTCTTTCCTTTGGGTACATCTTGGTGAGGGTACAGGATACGGGAGAGGTCACACGCCCAAGGGGTCTAGTGGATGGGCCAAAGCCTCAGGCCTGCATGGTCTGATGGTACCATAGCTGATGACCTCATGGTTGAATTTGGACTGACAGAGGAGAGCGCTTGTTCTTAACTAGCAGGAAGCTCCTGGAGCGCGTGTCTTTTGTGATCACAGAGGATGAATGCTACGAGTATAAATGGATGAACTACCTCAGTCCTTACAATAAGATTGGAAATAAGGGCAGGGACTCATGCATGAGGGCATGAATCCCAGCCGGCGGAGTTGAGGCTTAGGCCACAAAAGGTTTGTCTTTGGGGATCGGGCAGGCCTGCCAGGATCCCCATTCATGTCGGTCGGGTT